GGGGTCTGGAAACACGTCTCGGCTTGGATGGAGACTGAGGGGTGGTTTGCTGGTCCAAAAACGCACAGAGGGAAGAAAGGTTGGCGAATCCTGGATCACGTGGTGAAAATTCAGATGGTGTAGTAAGGGAAGACGACTCTGAAAGTGAAAAGAGAAGGGGAGTGCCCTCTCTACGAGAGCGTTTACCTATGTCTGCTGGACAAGGAGTAGGTGAACTTCGGGCTCGTTTAGGGGTTTGGTACGGCAGCGTGGTGGCTCTAGATGGTGCAGGTGTAGTGTCCATTTCAGTTGGTAGAGATATGGTTACTCTGGTTTTTGTTTCGTTGATTGTTTGGTAATTACAGCTTGGGTTCCCATAGGAGCGACGGGCCCAGGACAGGGCATGAGAAACGATGCGGTCGACGGCAGGTGATGATAAAGACTTGGTACGAATGGTGGTCAGCTTCACAAAGGGTTCTTCCTACTTATGAGTGGGGACTGGTTGGCGTCGGTGGGCTGGTAGTCGTTTCTGTTGTTGGTCAGGTCGAAGGTTACCTCTTGATTGGTAGGTGTTGTAGGTAGGTCGACGATGGGGTGGGATATAGCTGGATGGGTTGGTTGGTGGTCGGCGATTGGTAGGTGGTAGAGGTCGATGGAAGACAGGGCCGTTGTAGGTTACGTGATATTGGTTTGGTTGACGATTAGTGTTTCTATGTCTGGCTTCTTGTCAGTGGTTGTTGTAGTTGGAGAGCATAATGAAAATAACTTGAGGATAGAAAGGGAATGTACAGCGGATGTAACAGGAGGAAACTGTATATACTAGCGTGAAAATGTGGGGATCAAATTATGCAAATAAGTCAAACTAGGTTTGGGGGTATATAAAGTAAGATGAAAGTTATGATGAAAAAAAAATGCAGAAATATACTGAACATAAACATCACCTCAATGGACGTAGAGCAGATTTTTTCTTGACGTATCTCCCCAAACTGTTACAATCTGACAACTTGACAGTTCTAACTACTGACTGTTCGTCTTCTGCTAATGTTCTGTCTACAAGAGTCATACATATTTGGATTATTTTTATCTTGTTTTTTCTACATTTATGAATAGATCATCTTTCA